TGCTTTGAGGGGATGTTTGCCAGGTGTACTCAAAGGGGAACTTGGACTTATCCTTAGAGAGGACCACAATTTCCTTCCCACCTCGACAGAAGAAAACACATGTTGCATGGGTGTCTGTAGGCACCACACAAGTGAGAGTGCTGGTGTCCCATTCATGAACAGAGCTCGTGCCCAGGAATAGTGAGGGAGCTAGGAGCTCAGCCGGTGGGAGGGAGAGGGTGTGTGGCTGAGCCTCCATCACTCACTGAAAGGGAGATGGAGAGAGGGTCATGAGGGATGATATTTCCTTAGCAATGCCAGATGGATATGCAACTCATGCATTTTATATAGGCATATTTCTATATATAATTTCTCTCACTGTGCTTTTATTTGTTCATTAGCCTTTGACAACGGCTACTTCATCGTGCAGGGAGTTATTCCACCATGACATTTCACCAATGCATTATTACTAAGCCAAATGAAACTGTGCTGCTTCTGTCATCTCTCTGCTGCCCTCCCACCCCATTGCCAGGGTGGAGGCGCTCCTAGAGCTTGTTCAGAGCAAGGCATGATCACCCACAGACCTTTCCATCCTGAGCAGTTTTCTGGTAATGCCAGGACCACAGAGCAGGCAGGAGATGGAGGTTTCAGGGACTTTGTGTGTGCCTTAAGCACTTTATACAATGATGTCAACGGTGCTGGTTGAGATCAGGTGAGAGATCTTTTGTCCAAACTTGACATCCATAAATCCATGGGCCCTGATGGGATGCACCCCCGAGTGCGGAGGGAGCTGGCGGATGTTATCGCCAGGCCACTCTCCATCCTCTTGGAAAGGTCCTGGAGATCAGGAGAGGTGCCTGAGGCCTGGAAGAAAGCCAATGTCAGCCCAGTCTTCCAAAAGGGCCAGAAGGAGGAGCCAGGAAACTCCAGGCCTGTCAGCCTCCCCTGCATCCCTGGAAAGGTGATGGGACAGCTCCTCCTGGAGGTCCTCACTAAGCATGTGGAGGACAAGAAGGTGATCAGGAGTAGTCAGCATGGCTTCAGCAAAGGGAAATCATGCTTGACCAATCTGATAGCCTTCTCGGATGCGATGACTGGCTGGGGAGATGAGGGGAGAGCAGTGGCTGTTGTCTCCCTGGACTTGAGCAAGGCTTTGGACACTGTCTCCCATCCCATCCTTGTAGGTAAAGTCAGGAAGTGTGGATTGGATGAGTGGACGGTGGGGTGGATTGAGAACTGGCTAGATGGCAGAGTTCCGAGGGTTGTGGTGAATGGCGCAGTCAAGTTGGAGGCCTGTAGCTAGTGGTGTCCCCCAGGG